TGTTTTTCGCAAAAAACAAATTAGTGCAAAAGTTTTAGAAACATTGTTTTAAACTATATTAAATTAAAGCTTATTATCAACTTTCTTACTAGAAAGTTCGAAAATACAGTAGTCAAGAACTTACGTTATTTGTTAAAGAAATATATTCTAAACAAAATAATTTGATGAGAAAGAATATCCTATTGCAACGGTTTTCAAACTGTGAGGCAAGGCCAAAGGTAAGATCTCCAATTTCTTAACTTATTCTTCAAAAGGAGAATAATTACAAGACATTTCAAATTTGTTAAAGACTTAATTACTCTCATCTAACATGTTATCTTATATACAGGGGGCGCAAAATTATTCAAGCAAAAAATTGGGGGCGCGAAATACGAAATCACATTGTGATTTCTGTATTCTGATTAAATCCAGTCATTAAAGATAATATTAAATTAATGATATCGATCATGAACTTTCTGCTGGAAAATATCAAAAAACATTCTAAAACTAGAATTAAAAAAGTAGTTCAAAATACTGATGTAAAAGTATTGAAAAAAGATCATATAAGATATGAATATGATAAACATGAATTTTGATTTATATTTGTTTAGTAAATGTTGGTTGTAAGGGAAGTAAAGGGCTTTTAATTGTGTCAAAATCTCGTCGATGAGAGTGAAATTAAATTATGGAGAAGATGCTGTGAAGATGGATCGAAATTGGTGAGGATGTGATTAGCATTGCTGCAATTAACGCCGTTAATTAATTTATTAGAACAATCGCTGCGATATCATCAACGAGTGTTTAGCCAGTGTATAGTTAGTTTCATGTGCAGAATACACAACAATTGTTAGTATTGTTTGACGCCGGAGCGTGGGTGAATCAATGTGTGCATATGTGGTGGATGAAGGGAAGGCGTAATTGCGATCATCCCCCATTCTCGCCGATACTCCATTGTACGTACCACTACATCCATGCAAGTACACAAAGTCGGAGTTGTTTCGTAGATGGAATAGAAAGAGTTGTGATGACGTTTGCTCGGACCCATTTGAAAAGAATCCATCCGATTCGCTCATGGTGTCTGTCGATTCCTTCTGACATATTTACGTTTGTTGCGGACGTGATTTATGTGTGAACGGTAGGGGTGGAGGGCGTACAATCCGGCACTCGGAATAAATTAGGACGCGCGCCCCAAATTGAAAAATGGGGGGCGCCGTTTATCAGCGGCGACGATGCGACCGAAACCGCCGCCGCATCTTCATCCACCGACACGAAAAACAATTCCAAGGCATAAATTATAACTGCTAACTCAATCCATATCCATCCTAATCCACGCTGCACATCAAATACATGTAATATCTCGCATAGTGCGGCTTCGATCAGTTTGTATTCACTATAGTCCGGATTTTTTCACAAGAGCATAAGTTTAATTACCATGATTGTATTAACAAAATTCTCACAATTATCAACTATATTCACAATATTGACGATATTTCCAACGGCGAACTTATTATTTCAAAATCAAATATTGGAAAGAAAATTGTTCTGTTTCTCTTTTACGTTGAAATGTTTTGATTGAACTGCTAATAATTGGACAGTGAGCTTTTATGTAAAATCAAACGTGCAGTATAATGAGACGTGCATTTCGTGTTTGAACTCAAGATATTTTAATGGCATCTCGTACAGAGCAATTCCAAGAATATGTTTAATGGTTCATACCTTACGTTTGCTTTGATGATTGTGTTTAAATTGGATTCCTCAATTTGCAACTATTGAATATTTACATTTAAAAAAAGTTTTACCATTATTATTTTTAATGGTTACAAAACTATACCATTAATTATAAATTAATTTTAATGTAGAAATAAATTAAAAATACATCCATAATGGATTGTCCAAATGTGTCTATGGCTGTTTCAGCATCTGTTTGAATTATTAGCTTAATGAGGTTTAATTAGAAAAGACTCTAGTTGTGCAATTAATCGAATCAATCATTGGTAGTTGTCGTAGTATGGGCAATCAGAGTGTGTAATTACATCTTGATAATGACCGTCCCACGCATCCCACGGCCCAGACAATTAGCGTCTTTCCATTTAGATCAGATAGGGATCGAAATCGCATCCAGGAAGCTTTAGTGGCCACGTAGATTGTGTTGGATATTGCATATGGAATTTCTGCGACAATATGGTTGGGGAAACTGTTAATACCATTCGAGGTAATATCCATTTCCGATACGAGCCTCGAATTCTAAACCGAAAACCATCATTCCTTCCTATGCGAATTGAGTAAAGTGCATAGGGAGGGAACAAGTGCGGCGAAAACTTCGCAAGACGCTGCTGTAAATCATAGGGATGATAATCCAGATACAATGCGGTTTCTGGACCGGTGTAATATATCAAGGATGCTCCGTGCCGTTTGTCGTCGTAGGTGGCTGTAGTTGGCGTAGGTGGCGTCAGCTGCAGGCCCTTTCATTACCGCGACGGGCGGAGGATTAAATTTGATGTGGGTAGCCTTCGATTAAGGTTCGACCAGAGTCCTGATTATGCGGCCGGATCGTCATCTCCGTTCTGAAGACCTAAAAACTTAAGTGTCTTCCGTCCGGCTCCTACTAATTAACACCCTTTGATGGTCAGTACCTCGACGACGTTCACCGTCCCTTTTGATGTGCTTGTAAATATCACCGGAGTTCATCCATTCAGCTACAAACATAAAAGTTAATTACTCCTTCTACAGTTAATAAGATTCAATGTAAATAAGAGAATGACCAAACTGAACTAGGCAACTCTTTAATTTAGACAGGTATCAACCTTTTTTGTCCAAAGGCACTGTCGTGTCCCAGGGATGGTTTTCTGGACACTGTGGGATATCTTCTTCTGTTGTCTGTTGTGGAGCCTTAGGTTTGGTAAATAATGAATTGAACGACTTTTACTTTCGGTTTATTATTAAAATATTCTTCAAAGTGTTTGCTTTATCGTGGTTCTTCACCCAGTAGTTGATTCTTTAGCGTTCTTCCTAAGACTAATTACAAATCCTTACTCTACGTAATAATTGTAATAATAACGGTTGGACACAACAGCACACTTGAATCTACAGTTAAACTTTCGTGGTACACTTAAGCAATTATTATGCTTTGAACTTCATTGGGACAACTTTGTTACTTTTGAATATTAGAAACGTTATACATCTTGATTACCAATAACATTATTGATAGCTTATTGATAGCATTGATACCTTAGATACTACAGTGTTGTCAGGAAGTTAAGGTTGCAGTAAGCCTACATAATAGCACTTGCTTTGTTCAGTACAATAAACATATCCTTAATTTGTATTTAGAATAACATGTATAATTGAAGAATTTGAGAGAATAAAAATATAATTATATTATACGAGTTTTATGAGTGTATAAAAATGAGACAGTTATAAATGTAAGGACATATGAAACCGTAAATCGCACTGCGAATGCTCGCATTCCAAGAGGTCTAAGGCCAAGTCCGAACCGGGTTCGGGCATGAATACTTATCGCGATGTAGAAATATTGTCGCGAAATGGGGGAGCAAGGGACATAGGAGAGATGTGGAAAAGAGGACGAAAGGATAAGAATAGCCTCCGGCCGTTCGATAAAAAGGATAAAATGCACACTAGCTCTGGCAGTCACGTACTGTTGCTGCATGCAACTTCGTTCTTCAGCTTAAAGATATTTATATGTATGTTACTGACATTACCCAAAGCAGTAAAACCAATTTTCAGCGTCCCACTTGCTGGAATTGTCGCAGTTTCAGCGCAGGTTATTACATTAATACAACCCAGAAAAAAGAAGACACCATCACCCAAAAGCATCGCAATTAAATTCAATTGTCCTTACTACATGTATCCAATCATTTTCATCTTTATAAAGAATGTAAGAAATATATAAGAAAAAATAACTTTATTTGTAAGTACGTTTGAAAATCTGCAGCTTCTGAATGAAGTCGTTCTGGTAATCGTCGGAATCCGCCCACGTGGCAAGGAAATTTGCCGATAGGAAAGTTCCTAAACTGACTGGCACCATGAACCGGATGAAATTCCGCGCGCAACGCGTCAGGAACTGCTGCATCTTCAGCTGATCAAAATGCGTTAATCTCACTTTCCTTTTCATAACAGTCATCTCGTTGCTTATCTCGATAACTCTTCCGTTTTTGACGCTAATCTCCGAACCGTTCATTTTGCTGAGACATTTCAAGGAGCGTCTCAGGACGGCCGGAAACTTTTCGTTAACAATTTTGACAACCCACTAATTGACATTTCCGATCGCGAAAAAAAAAAAGAAGAAATATAGGGAATACAAAAAACATCCAAACAATTTTTGTTATGGAACGGCACTTGATTTGGACGCGGTTTGGAAATTTATAATGCAAACAGGAATTGACTATAAATCGGGTGAATATAACTTTCCCGTTGGGACACTTCATAAAATCCGGGTGTTATTTTGTGTTTCTATTTTATATCTGTATTACTACCGTAAATTTACTCCATAACTCCATCAACATTTGGAAATATTCCATCAATATTTTAATTTACAAGCTCTCAACGGCATTAACTATATGCAACAGAATCCATAGTTTATTTATATAAAATGGTTTCATTTAATTTCGCTTTGAAATTATCAATTTTTTTTTATGGAAATTCATCATTGTTATATATAAAATAAAAGTACAAAATTAATTATTCCTACAAGCATTTATCTAAATTATCAGATCCACTATATCTATAAGGGTCGTTCAGGAGCTCTTCAATACTCATTTCATATTTTAATTTAATACATAACTTTTTAATGGTATAATCTGTAGACATATACATTGATAAATCTGTCTAATTGATATCATAGAATTGTTATTAAAATATGTTAAATAATATTATGAAGAGATATAAATAATTTGTTCTTTACGGTAACTTTTCTTTTCTTGTTGAATCTAATATAACACTAATTTTAATTATTTACAGTTATAACGTGGCGTCGAGTAATTACTGAATTATTTCTGTGTTAGGTACATGCAAAACACGGGATTCAAATTGACGATTCGGTAAATAGATACGACGCGCTTCCCGGATTGGAGAGCGTCAGATCCACTATATCTATAAGGGCCGTTCAGGACCTCTTCAAGAATGGTAAGATGAGACTCCGTTGCCTTGCCACAATGTTCTCATCACTCTACAGAAGAGCTAAGGAAAACGAGATACAGGAGGACGCACCCTTAATGGCTCTTATTATGGTACCAACCACGCACAGCAATGAAGGTAACCCAACACTCTCATTATACAACACATCATCAAAAGCATACAAAAAAAATACTAGCTACTTTTACGTAATCTAATAAATTATTTAATCTTATATAAATTTATTTAAATCAAATTGTCTACAACTTTTTATATGTAATCTATTATTGAGTAATTTTTCAGTTCATGCGGGACAAAACCTCATTTTATTGTTTTTTCTTTACCATCGATATATTTTCTTAATTTATTAGTTTTCGGTTAATTAAGTAAAACGTGAAGATTCTACTTTTTTTAAACTATAAAATATTTTAAGTAGAAAAACGTAAATATGGCTAACAGCTCTGTAGTTTATTAATGAATATCTTTATTTAATGTAAATGGTGTCCCAAAATGAATTGATATATATTATTTTTTAATAAAATATATTTTGTATTTGATAATTGATAATATTTTTGCTTTTCTAATAAATTAGAGACATGGAGGTTATGTGTGATACAAAATATCTCATAAATGTCGTGGCAGCACATCTTCACTCTTTTGATCAAATTTTCCATAACATGTTCACACAATTGTTAGAAAATTTCGATAATGGTGTATCGAATTCCGTCTTTGAGGTCATCAATGCTTTGCGGTTTCTTATATCTATTCTTCAGATAACTCCAAACAAAGAAGTCTAACGGTCTCAAGTCACATTATATTGGCGTTTAAGTCACTACCATTACATTTTTCTTGCAATAACTATATATCTTTATGTTGCACCGTTTTAAAACCATATATCTTCCACATCCATATCATTAATGTAAGGCCATAAAATATTTGAAATCATCTTTTAACGCGAAATAATGGCGGCAAATTTAAAATGTCAGTTCTTTTTTGGCCACACTTTTATTTAAAATGTATTCAATATAAACTATAAACAGAAGATTGAAGCTGATTAAACTTCGTATTTGTCTTAGATTTAGTTCTGCTGTAAACTGGCAAAAAAGCATATTCTTTAAAAAAAAAAACAGTCACCTATGTCTAATTGCGTTTTGTTTTGCAGGTATAAATAGCGGCCCCAAACATTCCGTGTCCAATAAGATGTTGCACTTCTCCATGTATACATTCATCCTGATCTACATGAGTATGAACATCATTGGTTATTAAGGAGGTGAAAGACTTTGCGAGAAGGAGACCTGGTGATAGTGTATTTAAACGGTGATAAACTGAGAGAAAGAGAACTAAGGATTCCAACATTATATAGATATATTCGGTTAATTAGTTTTATTAAATGGAAGTGCGTTTTCTGTTATCTATGTACACATATATATTTGAAGGAGTCGAAGGATGAATCTACATTATTTGAATATTTAAGGATACAGGAAATATTGTATTATTATGATTATTGGATGTGTAAAATCTATAAATTAAAAAGAAAAGTAATCAACAACAAGAACAGTGTTATAAAACCTTTTCCGAGGAGGTCATTGGTGTGTTTTTGTCGTATATACAGTTTATGATTTTCATCTAAGTCTGGATATGTTGTTCAACCGTTTACTTCCCCACCCCTTGCAAGACTTACGTTGAATTCGAGACAATAAATTTGGATTTGTTGTTGTTTATTTGAGCAAAGGGTCAATAGTTAAGTTCCGTTTTAGGGCCTCCCCCTTCATTATTTTCAAGCTTGTGATCATTTCGAAAATCCCTTGCGTATGTGTAAAAGAAAAAACAATCCCTACACCTGAATTGCTCAAATGTTACGTATTTCCGTTGCATGTACATTAAATAATCCCCAATTATTGGAATTTGATTTATTAGTGAATACGTGTGGATAGATGGAAGGAAAGTCTGACGTTCTGTTGACGTTAAATAATTTGTAAATATTCAATGGAAATACTCAATGGAAATTACAGTGGAGTTTTATAAACAAAACAAAAAAAAAACAATGATATATATATAAATATATGTTATATTTAAGCGTAAAGTAACATTCCTCCCTTTAAAATAACTTGCATGTATTGTATATAAAAGAGAATCAAAAGAAATGTAGAATATGTTAAGGGCTGAAAGACTAAAGCTTTCTTTCCTTAATTTGTAAAATCCCGTTTTGAATCATCAAAAACATTGAAAGAGAGAGAAAGAGAGAAACAACATTGAACCGCCCACTGTAGACTAAACCTAAGTAATGTGTAATATTGGAAATGTGCAATCAAAATGGTATTGATTGTATAAAATAAAATGAAGCAAATTAAATATTAAATATATTGAAAGTAGTGAAAGAACCCCCACATCGAATTATAATAACAAAAAAAAAAACAAAATAATAATACCAATAACAAAGAAAATGTGATTTTTTGTTCGTTCGTTTCTTTCCTCCTAAAATAAGCCCAAACCAAAACTTTTGGAAAATAACAAATGTATAACTGAACGTGTATTAGAACAGTGATTGTTAATAAATATGCATTATACGTTTTGTACGCACCGCTGTTTCATTTCATTGCATTTCACCGAAATCAAACAAACGCGATTGCAAACAGTATTTTATCATTTGCGCAAACACTGCGCTATTTCCATTAGCGTTCTCTGTTTACTCAATAATTAATGAGCGTATTCGTTTTACTTTTATTTTATTTTTATTTATTTATTTGACTGTTAAACTGTAATATTATTTTTTTTTTGCTCTCGAATCACGCGTATTTTTCAAATGATTAATCGTGATTGATTTTGGGGTAATTATTTGTATTGACGGAATTTGTCGCATTTAACAAATTCCTAGTTTATTTTATTCACTCCTCACAAAATTTGTTATTTCATTTATTTGCGCAGATCCCGTTAATAAATATACATGTCAAGCACGAACACTGTGCCAAATAATTTGCATCGATTTTTTTTTGTTGTTCGGTCTTACACATTGCAACTATTTGATGGGTTAGCATTTTTTTTTTAATAACTTTCCCATCAGAATTATTGTCAAACTTTTTTTTTTATAGCTGTTACTGTTTTTCGATTACCTTTTTTCAGTTTATTAATTTTCACGTAAAACTAAATTGGTATTGTTTGAACTGAATCATTTTTAATGCATTTTTCTATTTAAAAATTTGTTTATTTTTCACTTTCATGTCATTTTCATTATAAAAATACATTTTTAACCAAAGTATTGAATTTCTATACAATTAAAGGATTTTGTTTAAGATTTTTACATACTATAAGGTAAGTATATATAATATTTTAATACAAATTTTTATATGAAATATGTGTCTAATAATCTAAATAAATGTAAGTAAAAAAATATGTTAATTTACTAAAGAAACATACAGATAAAGTTAAAATTTATAATTGTTGATTAGTACAACATCTGCTGCTTCTTTTTAGGCAATTTTTCTGTGTTTTTATTATTATTTACATAGCTGAAAAAATCTTTTAGAAATTGATATTCTTCATCGAAGGATATCCAAAATTCAGACCATGAATTCAATTTATGTTTAGACACCAGAGTTACATCAGAAAACTGGACTCGATCAATTTTTCTTTTTCACAAGCGCATTATTTTGTATATTCCAAAAAGGAATTAATCCAGAGATTACCTTTACGTGGATCTTCATTTTTCAGGAAATATTAAAATTTTAAGTCAATGCTCTTAAATGTTGACTTATTATGTTGAATATAATTTTTCGATTGATATCAGCAACATTCAAAAGTCTTCTTTTTCAAGAAATTCTCAAGAAATAAAGTAGAATAAAATTATAAGAAAGTTGAATCTTGATTACTGTATACCTTATACAACTTGTTTTACATTTTAGATGACCATGTCAACAATTTTCCTCCGAATAGTGTTGGCCTAAAGAGTTATAGAGGTGTAGCTTTCAGTTTTTTGGTGGCTTGAGAACCCAACATGTTTTGTACTACAACTAAGATACAATAATTTATTAACATCTCGCTAATAGTAAACGCTTTTTTATTTTAACTATTCGAACAGCATCTAAATAGGACGCTTGATGCAGCGAGTTCTTAATAATCGTCATCGTTTATTAGACTTTTTGAATATATGGTCTCATAAAATTTAGTGGATTATCTAAAAAAGTGTCTATGTTTCATTTGAAAGAATTTCGAGGATACAATTTTTGCTTGTATTGATTTTTTATCTAAAATTACATTATATTTAAATTTGATATTTTTTTGAATCATACATTGTTTAATCAAATTATATTATGATGTAAATTTAATGAATCACTAATTTGGAAATCAACGTTGGAGATTTGATTATTATAATATCTAAATTTAATAGTTAGTAGCATTGCAAGTATGGATGGAAGCACCGAAATCAATATTTAATTATTATGTAAATAATAATAATACTGAAAATGACTAATTGAAATCAACATTTCTATAGGTAAAAATAATCTCACACAGCAAAATTAAATAACAAACACACAACATAATGATATGAAGTAACAAATTGAATCCCTGCAATTTGCTGCTTCAAATCTCGATCATAAAATAATTATGATGTAAAATTAATTAAACTTAATCATGTAAAAACTATACATATCATAATAAATTACACTTTACCATTCGAAACGTACAGATTTATAAATAACAAACAAAACATTATAAGTAATCAAGAAAATATAAAAAATCCATCAGTTGGTTTCATAATAAATAATTGAATTATAGGTGAATATAATAATATAGATTTATTTGTTGGTTTTGAGTATATTTAGTTTATGAAATTGAATTGATTGAAGGAATGAACGTTGGTGTATTGGAACAGTCGACCTAAAAACTGTTGATGGTGACCGACGATATGCATCCAGGTCCATAATTTTGACCAGCAAACGACCCGTTTTGCACAATATATGCCCGATAAAGTCAGGTAATGCTTCCTGCTGACCATAAATCATTGAATTCATGTTGCAGAACACGCTTTAACAATCAGCAGAACGCCTGCTCTGGAAGGAGATACGACCACGTCTGTTTCGAATGATGTGACTTATTATAAACCTAACTCATAGTTGTTATTAACTTCTCCAACAGAATTCTGCATAAAATTCAGATACAGCTAAAAATAAACGTTTCATTTGTAATTGAAATATATTTCGGACTTTATCAATAATTATTTTATTACAAACAATGTTTATTATAATAATTATATAAATAATTACAATAAATATAAATTAAATTAAACAGAAAACAGAGTAGTAATATTCATTTATATATTGAATATTGAATCGATTGTTTAAATATCAATATGTGATAATGGAACTGAACTTTTATCAATTTACTGTACTAATTTTGAGTTTCTTATAACGCAATTCAATAATATTTGAATTTGTCATCATCAACAATTTTCTTCTATCCTCAAATACAAATATTTGAAATTTTCGTCCCCCCATATATGCGACTTTTTTGAAAAACTTAATATCTTTAAAATGGTTCTTTGATCCACAAAGGTAGCCGAGCCCTGGACTATACCATATAAATATATATATTTATAAAAATCGTCCCATAAAAACATAATAATAAATAAAAAGAACTTACAAATGGTTTAATGATTCACATTTGTACATGTAAGCAGGTAACATTCTTTTCTAAACTATGTTTTATTGATGAGAATAGGTGGATCGAAAGAGAATTAATAGTTTTAGAACGTTTAGGATTGCCGTGAGAAACGTGTATACACGAACACCAAGAAAATTATCATTTATATTGTACGAATCGTGTGAAGACGCGCGCCTTTCGATTCCGTCAAATAAAAAAGAAAAAGATATATCCGAAATTTATAAGAAATTGGAGGCGCTAATAAAAAAAATATATATAGTGGAACGAACGAGATATAAGAAACGGAAAGAAAACGAACAACAAAGCTTTAAATGCACGCGGCACGATAAATATTCTAGCAGTCGGTAAATTTAGAATTCCATTTCGACATTCATGAAGACATTTCTTTTCTGCTTTTTGTCATCAGTCTACGAAAATACTGGATGTATATTGAGCCTTCCTCAACATGAAATAAAGATGTCTCAAAATACAATTTTATTAACGAAAATAAATGTGTTTTATTATCACCAGTTTCTAGAATAATTTACAAAATCAATCAATTAATATAAGTTTTGATTATTTCAAATATAGATTCCTTTCTACGTTTTTTTTTTACAATTTCTGTTATAGCTTTATTGGCAAAACATAATATATACACATTTAAAAAAACAGTCACAAATAATTGGATCGTTTGTATAGCGAAACAGTTAAAAGATGAAAGAAAACAATTCCGTAAAAGTATTTCGAAACATAAATAGTTTAATTGAAAATTGAAAGAAATATGAGTAATGATCATTAAATTATGTTATGGATAATATTTATTGCACTAAGGATTATATTAAAGGATCAATCTTTTTTTGTGCTAAAAATGTATAATTTTCATAAATATGTTTAAAAAAAATAAATGGAAAAGAAAAATTATAGTTAAAGTTTTCTTTAAACCATTTTATTGAAGATTGAAAATAATGTAAAACAAGTGCGATTTGAACAAATCCAAATTTCTAGAAATTTGGTTTGTATCAAATGATATATGTCAGTTTACTACCCTCTTGAAGATGCAAGAAAACAAGGTGCATTTTGGACTTTGATACTTTTCTATAAAGCTATCGTTTTTAAACCTAGTTACATAAATCGCTATGATACTTGAATTACGCACAATTTAACTGACAAAAATCCCGACAATAACAACTTTTATGTTTGTTTACTATTCCCATAAAAATGTTAAAGTTAGACTGAGTTGTATTATTCTACACTTAGTATTCACCAGATAATGAATCCCAAAATTCATAGGCGTATAAAAATAAACCACCTGGAAAAGTTTATTGACGAAAAACCTTCTAATTTCTGAGAGGATGAAATGTTTAAGTTGTTAGAAAGATGAAGAAAGGTGTATAGATCAAAATTTGGGAAAAGTATGCAATAGTTAAATATAATATATAATACTCATTAACAAGTAATTTCTATTCTTTATAGATTCGCCGGGTCATTTTGAACATACATCAATTTCTTTACAAAGAAACGTATCCCTATTTTGAATTAATGAACTAATTTCGTGGAATGCATCATATTCATTAATCAAAAGGTATAATAGAACAATCGCTGTTAATTTCTTAGCTAAACTAATTAATAATGATTAATGATTACATATGTGGTTGTAAATATGTTACCTTACTAATTTTAATCTCTTGAGGTAAATATATGGGCAGAATGTGTTATGCGCAGGGAAGTTTCGTAAATAAATTTCCGGCTGTTTGTTGAATGTTTGATATCAATGATATTTGCGCCAATGGAATTCGAGGGGAGAGTGAAATGACGAACGCCGAATTCCGTTCACGTCGCGACGCCGC